TAATACTACCTTCCACACCTATCCATACTTTCCTCAGGGATCCTCCCAGATCCACTAAATCACTTTCTCAAACTTATTGGATTAGGTGTCCAAGTCCAAAACTATAATTGGTATGTACTAGGACTGATAGTAGCAATGTTCTTTTGGGTTACCTTCAAATCTGATAATTGAATAGGATAACTATTAGAGAAGAGAAGAACGATTTATTAATTTATTACTTTGTTAATTAATTAATTTGAAATCAGGATAAGTGATTTATTAATGTATTATGGATATAATATCTTAATTAGAAATGATACTGTTTAATTAACATTTAATCAGAAATTAATTTGGAATAAATTTTAGGATTAAAGGAATTAATTGAAACTGTAGGGACTGGAGGTGACAATGTTCAAAAGTTGAACATTGAGCATTCTAGAACCACCCTTAGAGGTGGGGAACGAAATCTAGAGTGTCCTAGGGTTTCCATGGGCTCTAAGGGCGCCTTGGAATTCTTAGGGAGGAAGTTAAGGGATTAGGGTTATCTAAGATACACCTGCCTTATCCTAAATCTTCCTTATCACCTATATAAACCCCTATAGGGTTGGATTTCATCCGTTGCACTCCAAGACAGGCTTAGAGCTGTAGTTTTACTTCCCATCTCTCTCTCTCTCTCTCCATAGTAATCTTTGGTTGCTAGGTTTGTCTGTGAGCCATTAGAAGCGCGACACTTGTGGCGCTTGCTACCAAAGTTCACGATCTTCAAGGATTACCATTGTTATTACAATATAACAATAAAGGTATGTATCCTAACCCTAATTATATGTTAATTTCAAAAATTACATGTGTGTCCTAGGGTATCTAGTTTTTGGTGTTCAATCCTTGTATGTCTAATAGTGAAAACATAGATCCTCAAATTAGGGTTGCATGAACACATATGATTGTTTGCTATGTGTAAAGCCCAACAGTGGTATCAGAGCTTTTAGTTGTTGTTTTCAATTAGATTTGATTCAAAAGTATGAATTTGACAAATTAGGGTTTATCGCAAATAAACCCTAGGGCTTGAATTTTCGAAATTAGGGTTTGAAAACCCTAGTTTTCGAAATTTGTTAGGGTTTCTTGAACCGTTTTCCTTTGGCTCCATATTTTCAATTTTAGGGTTGGTAAACACTAGGGTTTTTGAAAATACCTTCCTCCCCAAGATTAAATTTCAAAATTTTAGGGTTTCGGATAATGTTATCTTTGGTAATTATCTTATTAATTGTTTAAAAGGATAATTAAATATTTTGAAATATCCCTTCCCAAAATTTTGAAATCTAGGGGATAAAGAGATTAGGTTAAATTAATTATTTAAATTAATGGATAATCCTTTAATATTTCATAATTTAAGATAACTATTTAATTTTGAATAATTATTAAATCAAAGTTTTAATATTTAAGATTTTAAAATTAAATGGTATTAATTTTTCGAAATTTTTAAATTTGATAAAAAAAACCTTAGTATTTTGAAATGTTTAAAATACACCCTTATACTATTATATTATTAAAAGCTTAATACTTATATATATATATATATATATATATATATATATATATATATATATATATGTATAAGAAGAGTCAGTCTTAACATTAGTAGGCCTCATTCATGAAGCTGATTTATAAGGGATGTTTTAGGAAATTGCCTATAAAATGGCGATTGAATGGGTGTCCATTCTTACCCACGACACTCTTGACTAGTGGATGGTCGTTAGCCGAACGGGTAGGATAGGACACAAACTTCCATTATAAGTATAATGAAATATAAAGTAACTAAATGCTTTTAAAAAATTCCCAATCTTAGTTACTTTAGGAAAAATGTGAATTTGGTGCTAATCCATGAAATCGCACATTGCACCTTATTGGTCATTAGTGGAGCGTGTGTGGTTAACCGGCACACTAATATGGGACTAATGAAGGATGGAAATGGGTAGCTCTTAGATTATCATAGATCAATGGAGCGCTTGTGGTTAACTGGCACATTGATTGGGTGATAAACGTTTTCGAGAGTACCAAGCTAATTTGCATGGTTATTCACAGCTTGTTTGTGATCCTCGGCATCTCAGTCACAAACATGAAGGGCATAATCGAGATTAAACACGCCATTGAAAATTTCAATGAATCTCAAAAGATCTAGGAGCTTCAATTCATTTAAAAACTAATTTTTCATTTTGGTTTTTCATGGTGGAAATTGGTAAATCGTCATCTACCTACCTTCAAATATTTTGCAATTGGATTATGACATCCCTCTTCCTAATTGTAGAATATTGTGTTGGATCCTAGCCTTGATATTTCATTTGGGTGTTATATCAAGGATTCTTATCAACTAACTTGAATTTTCTCTCGCTTTGTAGATATCAAATTACCATGGTCTTCCTAAACCCTTTGGAAAAAGCTTTCCACTTGAAAGTGATGTTCCACAATTGGATAGTGGAAATGGAAATCATGCTTCACTTGCTCTACCTGATTCCCGGTACGCGTTTAAATTAATCATTTTTGTATTTTCTCCGGGACTTGACGAGTTGGTGGCCCAGCTCGTCGAGTAGGGTCGTGATTCGCGGGTATTTTAAGTGACCTGCTCGATGAGTTGGGAGATTGACTGGACAAGTAGGTGATGTTTGAGGGAAACTCTAAATCTGAGGATTTTCACCCTATTTAAACAACTTAACTCAGCCTCTCTAGTCCCTATCTCTCCCAAGAAGTTGTATATCGAAACCCTAACCGCTTTTGTGTTATATAAGGCCATTTTGGTGCTTTTGGCTGGTTTGTGAAGCTTGAAAGGAAGGAAGAAGCTTGGGAATTCGAGTTGTGGCTTGTGGATCCACATATCTTATTCCATCTTCATCTTAAACAAGGTAAATGCCCCCTATTTTGGTCTTCCATTTGGTTGTTCATCTTTAGGGCTTAGATTTTGGGTACCCTTAGGGTTTCCCAAGCCATTTTCGGATTTGTGAAGTGATTCATGGGGTTCTACTTTCAAATCTGAGTTATTGGAGGGGTCTCATGGCATATAGGTGCCAACTCTATGGACATGAGAGCCCCATGCACATGGTAGAGCACCTTTTATGGATTTTTGAGCCAAAAACCCGATGCATGTGCATCAAGTTTGGAACTTTACGTATAAAATGGACATTAGGAGGCCATATCTATGGTTTTGATGTGTTAAGACCTATTTAAATTAGCTGTATAGTAAGGGTCAAGCAGGGACTCGACGAGTTGTTCTTGGAACTTACCGAGTCGGTGTGTATTAACCACCAAATCCTTTCTAGGGATGGACCAATTTTTTTGAATGGAAGTTTCGTAGATGCTTAGACACGTAAAGGGACCTAGGAATCATGGGACTCGACAAGTGTAAGAACAGACTCGATGAGTCCAAGGTCCCAACCGTTGAATATGGACTCGACGAAGGGGAAGGAGCTGCCGGTGTAGCATCACATCAAACACACACATGGTTTCTGCTTTGGGTTTCTGGGATTGTACCCTGATTTTTCATTACTTTTGATGTTATGGTTTTGAGACATGACAATATGGTTTTATGTATTGACATAATTTTAGCAATGTCTTGATAATATATTTTATAAACCACTTAATTAAAAATGAAATTTTTGGCCTTGATTTTTCAGATGATACAAGTTGGTATCAGAGCCCTGGTTTGAGGGATTCGGACACACCCTCGAGGGTGTCTGGACTCAAACCAAGGGACTAAAAGATTTTTCAAGGAACACAGCTCTAAAATTTGAAGTTAATGAATTTTGAGAAAAGACATGGTGTGTGATGTGTGCGACAGGCCAAGCTCAAGTAAGTGTCCCCAAGATGCCCATACTTGTTATGTTATGTGTATGATTCATGATTCTGAGAACTACATGCTGGAGTAGGGCTAAGGAACTAGTGGATGCCTTGAATGCCTGTTGTATGAGCTGTATGCTAGGATTGTTTAGTCAGCAGTAGGATAGTCTGATTAGGTTATGCCTGATGTGGTTACTCGATGCACGAATGTTACTTGCTTTGTGCTTAAGGGGTCCCAGCTAACTTTAACTAGCTAGTGAGCGGATATGTAACAGTATTCGTAATCTAGTTAGGGAAGGGAAGTATGAACCCATAGTGCAACTGATGGCGGTGTGACATCCCTAATTTCACGGCCAGAAAAGACCGATTTGTTTATGATTTGTTTTATAAATCAGAGTAATCGTTTAAAGAAAACGGTTGCGGAATTTGTTCCCAAAACAAAATATGATAAGAATTTATCAACGCATTTCTTTAAAGAAATGTATATTCATTAAATAACCAAATCTCGGGATGTCATGTTCCGATACAGACCAAACGCATATATAATATAAAATAGACCTTACAACAGTTACTTATAACTACTGACCTATAATCCAAACACTACTAGAAAAATAGCCTTTTACGACGCTCATTGCGCGTCGTAAAAGGCTCACATGACGCGCAGATGTGCTTCAAGGAAGGCCTTGTCATAAAAGAGACGACGCGTAAAAGCGCGTCGTCTATAGATGACGCGCATTTACGACGTTCATTTACGATGTACAATTACGACACGGGTTTACGAGACACAATGCATATCAAGGAAGGCCTTGTCATAAAGGAAGACATAATGACACGCAATGCGTATCATTAAAACCCCTATCAAAAAAAGGTCATGTCATAAATGAAGATGACACACGTTTTTACGTATCGTAAATTTAAATATTTCAAAAAATATATTTATATATTTATTAATTTTTAAATTAAATTTGCATTTACTGTCTCATAATAGAAATAAAATACCATATAAAAAATACAATCCATTGCATAAAATTTAACGTCATACAATTCTATTTCTTACAGTATATAAATTTGCATTTATCTAATCTACTATGTGTTTCATACTAACAATTGAAATGAAGAATGCAACACTTGCATTTGCAGCATCTTATCTCTTTCAGCTTGAGCTTTCTTTTCATCATCTAACTCCAAAGCTAAAGCTATTCACTTTCATCAGCCCTGTAAACACAACACAAAATCACTTGTCATTTTCATACTACTTTTAAAATTAATTCTTATTAGGACATTCTACTTTTAAACCTAACTATCTAGCAAAATTTTCAACGAATATAATTTATATTTTTTTTATGGAAAGTACATTGCTATTTCTTGAATACAAGATGTTACAAATCAAGAAACTTACATGGACTGCTGACCATCATGAATCTGCAAGACACGAGACATCAAATAAATCAAAATTAAAGTTTGATTTTTTTTCCTTTCAGTAATGATTAACATTTCACAAAAAAATAATAGGCCAACCCACTCCCTTTGCCTCATTCCAGCTAACCCACTCCTTGGAAACAACCAAAAAAAAAATACCAACCAACATTTTACTTATATTTGAGAGGTTTTCATATTGATTTATTTATTTGTTAATAAATAGTTTACATACTACACCTATGGTATGGATTTAGTATTCAAGGGAGGATTTACTATAAAGGAAAATATCGAGGGTAAATTGTTGATTTCCATATTGGATGTACCGATACCTTTCTACGGGTGATTGCTAGCCACTCTTCATTTCAATATGGACCGAGACCTAATTCAACTTCAATAATTTGTTGAAATCAGAATTTGAAAATAAAAATCTTTTAAAAAATTCAACGAATAGTCAACAAGTAAGAATCTTAGTGACTTGACCTCCATCTGGATGTTGAACTGAAGCAGCAAATTTGCAATGTAAATGAGCAGAAAACCCTAGAAAAATTTTTAGTATAATGTTACAATAAACAAAATAAAGAAAGTAAATTGCTATTTTGAAAATGTGAAGTATTATAACAACCTGCTCTGTGACAATTCCTTTGACCTGTCTACCAAGAATTGCACGTGACTTGATGCCTCTTTCAGATTGTGGTGCTTTGTCATCAGTAACCTCCTGACCCAAATAAAAATTATATAAAAAAATGGAAGTCAGAAAAGATGACATCAGCGAGTGAGGTTTTATTATGTTATAAAAAAATGGAAGTCACAAAAAACTGTAAGCATGGTGGCATATTTAACATAAAATGTTAATTTAGTGACTTAATAGGCAATGAAAATAGTTTGTAACCAAATTAATGAAAATGAGACATTTGGTTGCTATACTACCAGTCAAGTAATCCAAGATAAAAAGAGTGAAGATCAATTTCACCTAGCAGCCGGTAAAATTGATCATTAAACATTCCTAGAGAATAGAAGTAGCTTTCTCAATTGCTTAGAGCGTGACCCTGATTCACCTTCAAGATTTGCATTGTCACATGTAAGGTCATCACCTGTGAAATTGATCATTAAACATTAGACATCGCTTGAATTCTAAACTGAACCATTAACAATTTAATATGATCTAAACTATGCATGAAGTATTATGTGACTTGTGTTTAACCAAACCATTAATCAATCAATACATGAGACTCTACAAGCACCACAAAATATAGAATTCAGGTGCATGTCGAGTATCGACATTTAATCATTCATATGAGCTGGAAAATAATTATAATAAAATTGTGCATGAAGTTTCCATATCCACACTCAAAAAGGAAAGAAGCAAAAAAATAATAACAAATTTATCTCCTCAAATGGGTATTTCTATACTACGCTTTTCTTTCATTTGTTTGGCTGCATCAGCCAAATCATGACTTTGAACTTCATGAGAATCTTGAAATTTTAGAAACTCATATCCTCCATGTCCTGTCATATATAACAAGAGAAAGAATCTTGAAATTTCATGGCGGCCTGTTAAAACTCTTTAAAAGTTCTTAACTGTCACTTCATAACCTCGATAGTCTACCTGACATAGCAGTGAATTAAAATCAACACATCTTCTCTAAAAACAGTATGTAAATAACCAAAGGGCTATAAATTAATTGGACACCAAAGTTGACCTCAACATTATCTCCATACAAGTTAAGCCTATGATTTTCATTGTTGAAACTTGTGCATGGTATTTCTTTCAGGAATTACAAGCCATGTCATCCACTAACATAAGATTGATCCTCTCATCGGGTATCCATACTCGTTTCACAGTCCAATACAAGAAGATTAAGAGAAATAATGACAGAGAAATGTCAATAATTGAAACATGATTGATATATAGTTATAAAATAACTAAAAAATGACAAAACAAACCTGATCTTGAGAGAGATTAAGTAAGGCAGGTTTATTGCAACCTTCCTTGCTAGATTTGTGTCCTTAAGAATGACAAAGAAACAGATGGAAAGAAATCAACATCATTGATAAGTGGATGGAAGTAAAAAAGACAAACATTGTTCATTGAATAACTAATTTGCCACCTATAAAATCAGGAAAAAAAATAAGATTTAAGAATTATGTATTGTTTTATTATCTAAAAGTGAAACACAAAGATGTTATATAAATTACCTGGCTAAAAGGGTAGAGTTTTTTCTCTTTCAGAATTGGAAAAATAAAACTACCCATGAAATTATGCATATAAAGAAAATGGAAAGCACAAATAATTGCAATGATCTGAAAGAAAAATACAAAATAAGAAAATATAGAATTATTAAAGATTCAGATGAATGTGTTAAGCCAAAGAAATTTGTTTTTTGTGGAATGTAAGGGTAAAATGGTCTTTTGGTCTCATTAAGACGATTTATGCAATCACTATAGAGAGAAAAAAAACCACAAAAGAAAGTGACATACCCAAAATCAACCAATTGCAATATATGGTCTTTTGGTCTCGTTCACACGATTTATTTTATTTTTGAATAGACAAAAAAGCATATGGACACAAACCTCAAAATCAGCTCCCACACTGTTAATGTTACAAGTTTGAATTTCATTATGTTTAGCCGTTATAATTTTTCCACCGTTATCCATACTAGGCTCTTCCCTTACCAACTTTCACCATTATAGTCACTTCATCATACCCAATAGCAATACTATACAAAAGGGAGAGGGTACAAGTATCATAAACAAGCATAAATGCCCGACTGTACACAAATGTTACACATCAGCAAAACTAACTGGAGAAATTTGATGTAAAAAGATTAAATTCATGCAAGCAAAACCTGATGTTGATGACCAATAACAATGGGTAGCTGAAGGGTAGTCCCTAGATGTGAATTTTGGTGAGTTTTGCATGGTTGACACATGGAAGGTCCGGATCCTTTTCTAATTGTAGATGTAACCTGAAAATATGACATTAATATTTAACAATCCTTTATCTAGCTTTAACTTTCATAATCAATCACAAGATGCTCATAACGAATTATACATATTATTAACCTGTAAAGCACTGTTGAGTGCAGCTGAACCATACACAAAAGTATATTGACCACCACAATGAGTTCCAGCATATGGATGACCACCTAACAAGGTTGAATGACGTGAAGCCATAGGCATCTGAGAGATAGCATCAACTCCCAGCTTCATAGAATATAGAATGATTCAGAAAGCATGGCGGTGTGAGATCCCCAATTTCATGGCCAGAAAAAACTAATTTTGTTTATGCTTTGTTTTATAAATCAGATTAATTGTTTAAAGAAAATGGTTGCGGAATTTGTTCCCAAAACCAAATATGATAAGAATTTATCAACACATTTCTTTAAAGAAATTTTTTTTCATTAAATAACAAAATCTCGGGATGTCATGTTCCGATACAGACCAAAAGCATAAATAATATAAAATAAACCTTACAACAGTTACAAATAACTATTGATCTATAATCCAAAATCTCTCATCAAGTCCACCAACTTATACTCTTGTTCCATTACCTATAATGCAAAGAAAACTGAGTGGGTCAGGGTTGGGAGCCTGGTGAGCATCTAGGGTTTTCAATCAACAATATTATATCTTATATATATATATATATATATATATATATATATATATGTATATATATATATATATATATATATATATACAATCATCAAACGATCATTCCGATTATCCATCAAATTATCTTCCTTACTCTTAAGGGCCAACCCTAAGAGTCATCTATTCGTTCACTCCGTATTAGGCACTAAGACAATAGCTACCAGGACTCTTTATTAGGCTCTGAGACAATAGCTGCCAAGGTTCTTTCGTAAAGCACTAATTCCATAGTTGCTATGGTTCATTCATCGGGTACTAAATCCATAGCTACCAGTGAAGGTACTAAGTCCATAGCTACCAACCCTAAGAGTCATCTATTCGTTCACTCCGTATTAGGAACTAAGACAATAGCTCCCAAGCTTCTTTCGTAAAGCACTAACTCCATAGTTTCTATGGTTCATTCATCGGGTACTAAATCCATAGCTACCAGTGTAGGTACTAAGTCCATAGCTACCAACGTTTATCTAACAAGTACTAAGTCCATAGCAATCATCGTCTATCTAATAGTACTAAATCCATAGCTACCAATGTTCGTCTATACGGTACTAAATCCAAAGCTACCAAGGTTCATCTATATACAATATTAAATCCATAGCTACCGAGCCTTATCTTTACAGTACTAAATCCATAGCTACCGAGGTTTATCTTTCGTTTCATCCTGAAACTCATCCTTCATCACACACCAACTATTTCGTCTACCCATGTTCTACCCAACATATTTGTAGAGATAAAATACATATATACAGTTTAACTCATTTAAAACCTATATAAAACTTCAAATCCATTCCCATCTCAAATAGACAAATAATATATAAACACATAGCATGTATTTCATAGAAAATACTTCGTGTTTATGTGTTAGAAGAAAGTAACTACACACTCACCCAAACATATACTTAATACATTCAAACAATACTTGTATTATACTCGTGTTTATGAAAGGGACAATACACCCACACATATAAAAAACTTTATAATATACACATAGCACGTATTTCATAGCAAATACTTAATATTTATGTTGTAGAAGAAAGTGACCACATACTCACTTGATCTGAAGATGATTGGACAGAACTACGGCTTGTAGAAGTAGTATTCTTCAGTAGATTTGGAAGATCTTCACAAAAAACCGGGCTCCTTGCGGGCAGAGCTTCGGCTCGGAAACTCTTTTCTTCTTGGGATCTTCCAGCTTCGGGAGTCGTTTCGGGTCTCGGGATGAAACTGGGGTTTCGGGGGTACTTCAGGATGGCTATAGAGGGTATCGGGAGTGAGAGAGAGGAGTTGGAGCAACCCAAACTCGGCTGGCCCTTCAAATCTATTTATAGGGAAAAATTTGCCCTTCCCATGTCATGGTATGGTTTACCACATCGTGGTGGCTAGGTCATCACTGTATGAGTCATTGAAAGTGGGTCTGACGGACTCCAGAGCTCCTGCCACGTCGTGGCACTTTTACCATGTCGTGGTGGCTGACAGTTTTGGGGTTTCGCACCCCGAAATTCAGAAATTCATAACTTTCGCATACTAACTCCATTTTCGACATTCTTTATGTCGACGCGTAGGTGAGGATATGCTCTACAACTCTCGTTTAGACTCTGTTGGCTAATTTTGACTCTATTTTTAATATATTATAAATATATTACTTTTATATTATCTTTAGTAGGTCGGGACAGGATAACTCCGTTATAAATTCATAACTTCTTCATCTGACGTCCGTTTCCGCCTATCTTTTTATCGTTTCACTACTATAGATGAGATCTTTGATTCTCATTTAGATTGTTTCGGCTAAAAATCACTCGATCTCAAATCGAGGATTCGGGCTGCATATTGCTAAGTCGAAACTTCGGAAAAATCATAACTTCCTCATACGAAGTACAATTTGGGCATTCTTTTTATTTACGCTTTCGGTTTAACATATTCTACGACTTGGTTTAGATCACTAAGGCTAAATATTGCTCAAACGTAAATTCACTTTTTATGTCATTCAGCGTCATGTCGATTCTGTCGCGAAATTTCGACGGGTCATAACTTCTTTTATAACTCGGTTTTCGGCATTCTTTATATTCACAGAATCCTTGTAACATATAATACAACTTATTTAAGATTACTCCTTCTAAATAATCTTCCATAAAAATGTCATTTTTGACGCTTATCGTCTCTAAATTGACTAGCCCGGATCTACGAGCGTTACAATTAACTCCCTCTTAGGATGATTACGTCCTGGAATCATCAACGAAATAGGGCTTATATAATGATTTCATACGTTATCTCTTCATCCTAGGTAATAACCGTAACTTCTATGTTTCCTTGAAAGAGTATCTACCTCTCAGGCTTCTCGACTTTAGACGATGCTCAATCATGTATCTGCTTTTCATACTATGTTGGACTTTCGATCATAACCTTCGAGTTATCAAATAAGTCTTTATTGATGACATTTTCTTCATATTAGGATAAGTACTTTCCTTTTATCTATTGTAACAAATCGATGGGTCGTGTTCTAATGACCTCTCATCGTATGATGCAACGCTTAGACTCAAGTCTCTTAGAGTAAAATTCCAGAATGGAATATACCTTCCTTCATATTCTAATGTGATATAATCATGTTTCAGCATGTAGCATTTCTATCTGCAAACTTCTTTTAACAACGAGCGTAATACCAATGATCACATTAACTTCAATCTTCTGACTTACATCAGATGTTACATCGAACTTGGTTCTCTGAACCCCGTAACATACTCATCGTAGTCAGACCCCAATTGGACATGACCACTAGGGTCAGAATAACGACCATCTTACTAGTCATTAACGAAACAATGGTAATGACATACCAGAATAAAATGGAATCAATTACTAGCTTCTTGGTAACCTTATGACTATCCCCGATCCAAGTGTGAGTCATGTGCTTCCGGTAGTATATGCATCTACTACTTTTCACACCTACTCATACTCGTCCCAAGTATTGTCCTGCAGTCGACCAAGTCACCATACAAGAAAATCACACATTCATACAACACATCAGATAGCAAAACTAGGGTTTATATTATTTCTTGCAACGATTACACAAAGGTTCAAGTTCACCCTATACTACGCCTCTAATAGGCTACACTTCCTGATACAGACTTTATATAGATATATAAAGTCTTTATCCTTGGATCCTCGCGTTGTTTTTGGCTTCATCAAGGATCATGTGGAATGCCCTTGGCTTTGGCGGTGCTTCTAGCCTTGCTGCTTCATTTTTCTTTGGGCAATCTCTAGACATGTGCCCGTTGCCTCTCCATTCGTAGCAGACCTTATCATTGTGTGTACTGTTCTCGGAATAGTGGCCGATCCTTCCACATTTGTAACAGGCTACTTCTTCGTTGTGTGTTCTAAAGTGATTCTTCTTGCACTTTTCACACCACTTGGGGTCCATACCTTTGGTCATCTAGGTTAGACTTTGCGAATTTTCCATTATTATCAAGTCTTGAGGATCCTTCAAGCTTCCTCTTTTCTCCAACTTGAGCTTTCTCCAGACCCCGTTCCTTCTACTGGGTCTCTACATTCTTAGCGTATCGAACATCTGCTTTCAGAGTGGTTGCCATCTTGACTGTTGGGCCAAAGTCGGCTGGCAGTCGATTCGCGAATCTCTCAATCTTGGAGATTTCAGTTGGCACTAGGTATGGAAATAACTTCATCTCTTCGGTAAATGCAGTAGAATAATCATCAATGCTCATTTTACCTTTCTTCAGGTTCTGTAATTCATTGTTCAGATCAATCAGATCTATCTCTGAGCAGTACTGAATCTTTAACTGCTCGAGGATTGATTCCCAAGACATCCTTAGTGCTTCCCCTCGGGGCCTCATATCTACTAGTAACTTCCACCAGCTCAAGACTCCAGTCTTCAGTTGTCTAACTACAAAGATAGTCTTTTGTTTGTTGGTACAGTCTCAACTTTCAAACACCATCTCCATTTTAGATATCCATTCCAAAATCTCTACAGGCTTTGGGCTCCCAGAAAGACTTGGCGGTTTGGCACACAAGAAATTCTTATACATATGCCAATCCCTGTTTATTTCCCTTTCCGGATCATTCCTCTCTACCACTGGGGGTTCTGCTTATCCAACATTCCCACTATAGTTGCCTCCCTCCGAATGCCATCCATTCACTTCGGGCTCTTCTACTTGAAGTGACAGTTCCTCACGATTCTGTTGGAGTAATCGCCTCGTCTCCTCCATTTGGCAATCCAACATCATCTGCATCATCGGTTGTACCCCAACCATCGTCATTGGCTCTGGTGTTGCTGCTACAACATGTGCTTGCTCAATCATAGGTGGTTGATTCCTGTCTTCATTCACATTTCCAACTCCACTTCTGGTTCTTACCAGTTTTGATCTACACACCGAATATGGTGAATTCAGATCCTTAATCAAGATAGATAATTAAATCATCCTTATCACTCGGAAACGTTTACATGCTAGTTCTAATATCGTAGTCCTACGCTTAGAATCCTAAACACATAAGGTTTCTACATCCAGTCGGCAACAGACCATATA